CTAATGAGAGTAAAGACAAGAGGATCCTGGTAGCTCAGTGGCCACCCATGTAGCCAAAACACTGAACTTCCATTTCAGTGGTGCACCCTATCTTCACAGAACGTGTACAGTAGTAGCTCAAGATATCAAATGTCCTTTTTTGGTTTTCAACTGTGCACACATGGACATGTGCACTGGTATACATTGGTGTGTATATACCTCACATATATACATGATACAACAACAACAACAAACACACACACACACACACACACACACAGGAAAAAGTCCTAAACTTGTTAGACAAGTAAGCAATGTTAGTTCTTGTCCAGATCAGTGATTTCACATGGATGATGAATTAGTGAGTAGTTTTTCTGAGGGAAAATATTGAGAAACTTTATGAGGGGTATGGGAGTATGGTATTGGCTGTGAATCAGGTTTTTTTATCTTTTCAGCCTGACTGAGGCCTAGTAATTGCATGAATTTTCATTTTGTTAGTGAAGCCAAGTTCTCTGTTTACTGTTAAAGAAGGAATCTTTAATTTGCTCCACTAGGGTGTTGGCCTAGCAGTGGATGGAAAGGCTTGGCTGTTTTCAGCTGAAGATAGAATTCATAGATGTTTATCAATGTCCCATGATCAGGACCAACTATTTGAAATAGTTTTTCCGTATATACATATTGTTTGTTTTAAGTATATAATTTGATAACATTAGAGAATTAATTATATTATTATACAAATGCTCACCACAGCTAAATTTAGTGTTTGGTTCCTTTTACTTAGCATGTCTTCTAGTTCACCTATGGAACCGCTAGGGTTTGCTATTTCTTTTTTTAACCAGTGAATTAACAGTTGTTTGAATAGAACACATTTGATAATGTATTCATTTAAAAATTGCATTTTTGTCTTTTCTTTCATCAAATGGAGCTCTAGATGTATGGGCTAGCATCCGTAAGTACCATTATTTATATAATGCCCACTAAAAGATTGTTTCCTTAATAACTTATTCTGGGACTCCAGGGAGGTCAAGAGATAATTTCACAATGAACCTCCTTCTCCAACTCTCTCCCCAGGATCTGAGGGTGCCACAGGCCCTCACCCTGGCCTACTATGTGCAGAGTGGGGCATAAATTCACAACCTTGGCTTCACCATGAGAGTCATTATCCCAGCTTTCCCAGACAACAGGGGTTCTGCCCTCTAGTCATAATCTTGAAGTCCTGACAGGATATGACACTTCCTAATCTAGGGGAAACCACAAAAAGGGCAGTCATCTCTTCACAATGATACAAGGGACATCTGAAAACCTTTATCCAGACATGTTATTGACATTCTTTTTTAGTCATTCAGATCTCACACAGCAACTGCTGACATTGTGCAGTCATGTTCACCTCTGTAGTCTTTCAGCTAAGACCAGTTTGCCAGCCATTTGGCACATAGGGCACTGACCTCTGTGTGTTTCTTTGGGACTGAATGGCTGCGGGACTGGGTGGGACAGAAATCACAGACAACAAGTGGCACCAACATGGAAAGCTAAATTCCTTTAAAACCTGAGGTACTTGGAAAATAATTCTAGACAAAAAAGAACAGAGTTAAGCATGGCTTCTTGGTAGCATTTTCTCAGATGAGCTCTGTTTGCTAGAAGCAAATACACCTTATTTAAGAGAGGCTTCCTGACTCAGCTTTAGAAGTAAAAACCTGACAGCATTTTTAAGAGGCCCCACCACAAAACACTTAAATGGTGCTTATGAATAGCCAACAGCATGCTTGAGGTGGCAGCACAAACCTTAAAACTCCATAGAATTGTGGCAATAAACATGGTTCTGGCCAGTACCTCGCTATGAGGCTAGACTCTCAGAAAGCTAAGGAATGGGCTAGATCCACAGCTTGAATCCCAGCCACATTGCTTAGCAACAATAAAGACTCATGTGGTCAGAAAAAGAGAGATATGCAGTAAAGATAGATTCAGATTTAGAAAACTTGTATATGGTTGACAATGTGTTTAAAAATATATGTAGGCTTGGGAGAAAAAAGAAAAAGAATAATATCCTTAAAATGAAAAAGAAAGAGAATGTTTGGGTATGGTGGCAAACACCTTCAATCCCAACACTTTGGAGGCAGAGGCAGGTTGATCTCTGTGAGTTCAAGGTGTAGTGGCACACACCTTTAACCCCAGCACTTGAGAGGAAGGGGCAGGCAGATCTCTGTGAGTTCAAGGACAACCTGGTCTACAGAGTGAATGCCAGGACAGCCAAAGATACACAGAGAAATCTGGTCTCAAAAAAACATATATTAAAAATAAAAGGAAAAAAAATAGAGTTTAAAATAAAGTCATGTAAAGATGGAAAATACACAGAGAATCAGTATACTGTATATTATTGTGTTGTCTTTGAATTGTTTGATAGCCGAGGAAGAAGCAATGGTTGCTAAAAGATGTTTGATTATAAATGTTGGTGGATTAATCCAAGATAGGTATTTTGAAAATAACTTGACTTCAAAACTGAAGTCAAAATATAAGTTGTTTTTTTTGGGGGGGGTTTTTTTTGAGACAGGGTTTCTCTGTAGCTTTGGTGCCTGTCCCGGAACTAGCTCTTGTATTCATACTGGTTTAAGGAAAATCAGGATTGATCAAGGAAGAGCCCCTAAGAAATCTCAAATGTCTGAGTTCTATATCCAGAACAGCTTCAATACTGCTGGATGAGATGATCAAGCCTCACAGGATACTCCAGTCAGGACTTGATCATAATTCTAAATTTTCTTTAGGTCTCTATAAGATTATCAGTGCCCCCAGTCAGCAGGAAGGAGCCCGGAAAACTACACCCGCATTCCCCCAAAATGGACTATGGATGTTTTTCTTTGTTTAGAGTATTGGTTACAATTTGTTATGGATAATGGTCCAGAAGAAAGTTAAACCAAGGAGATTAGATTCAGAATTTTTCTTTTGAACAAAAAACGGGGGAAGTGCTGTGAGACAATTATCTTATACCCTTTAAAGATTTGTCAGTTGTATTGTTTTAATATAATTTAATTTAATAAAATGCTGATTGGCTAGTAGCCAGGCAGGAAGTATAGGTGGGGCAACCAGGCAGGAAGTAGAGGCAGAGCAACTAGAACAGGAGAATTCTGGGAAGATGAATGATCAGTCTGGAGTCATCACCCAGACACAGAAGATGCAAGATGAGAATAAAGGTACCAAGCCATGTGGCTAACACAGAAAAGAATTATGGGCTAATATAAGATGTAAAAGTTAGTTAATAGGAAGCCTAAGCTAATAGACCAGCCATTTTATGATTAATGTAGACCCCTGTGTGTTTCTTTGCGACTGAACAGTTGCAGGACCGGGCAGGACAGAAACCTCTGTCGACACCCATCCCTGCTCAGAGTGACTGAAATAGTGAAGAAAAGATGATTACACTAGGAAGGATCACTTTGTCCAAGCTCTACTGGTACATTTTCATGTAACTGCAACATTTTATGTGACCTAATTTTTTGGACCAGCCCAGTGTTTTTGTCATTGGATTGGTCTTGGTCAGAATATGGGAAAACCGCTTGAGCTCAAGAGTACCAGATTGATTTGACATTGACAGAGAGAAGCATGACTCTAGAGTGACACTGACATCCTGCCTTCCCACTCAGGACAGGACCCTGGAGGAATGCTTCACTGTACAAAATATTCATGTAGATACCTGGCTCATTCTCTTAATTAATGCCATTTATCCCAGTCCTAACATTCTTGTCACCTTCCTTAGTTGACTACAAATGGAAAAAATAAAGCCTCATTTTAGAACTGCAGCCCTGACAATGAAGCCACAAGCTGAACAGCCTGTTAGGGATGTTGTTTGATCTTGGATGTCTGATATCAACATATAATTAAATGTGATGGCAGGAAGTGACAATGGGGCCATGATTTTAAGCACACAGTCTACTAAATCCTCACCTTCTACCGTAGTTGAGTGGCATTGATCAGTCACTTAAGTAGAATTTATTGGGGAGTCATTTTAAATTTGGCTTTGGCTTATAAAAGTGTTACCCCATTTTCCTCCTAGGGAATCCTAGCCAAAAGCTTTCAAATCACTTCTTCAAGGTCAATCATATATGAACTCAGCTACGTTCAAAGGAATTTAGATGTTTATTTCTTATAACAGGGAGAGGAAGGAACCAGGAGAATATGGTCTTCAGATAAGACAGAGCACAGGAAGAAGACACAGCCACAGAAAATGACCCTAGGCTCAAGACACAGTCACTCCTTTAAGAGCTCCGATTCTTATTGTACTAATAAACAATATTCTTTTTGTTGTTTTTTTTAATCTGATAGGTGATTTATAATTTGTAATTGTTACTTTATATACAAACTATTTAATGGAAGAAAATATTTTAAATATGAATGTTAACAAATTCAGAAACATCGTGAATGCAGAATTATGGCTGCCAAAGCCTTTGTTGGAGAAATGACCCGCAGTGCCATGCTCCTGGCTTCTCATCCCTCAGTACTTTTCCTGGTGTCATTCTTGCTCCCAGAATTCCTTGTAACTAACACTGTATCTCATTCTCCCCTGTTTCTCACTCAAGGCATTTAAAGGCATTTTGTGAAAATGAATCCAAATTTCTGCGAGGTGGATGTAGGGTGTGCACTGTGCACTTGACTTAATCAGCACTGCAAGCTTCATGAGACTTTCAGAGGTGAGTCAGCATGGAGGGTTTCCCAGCATAAATCAAGACAATGATATCATCACTAAAGTATTTTTATTGCAATTAAATGTTAAATGGTATGTTTGTCTAAAAGTCATCTAGCTACAGAAGTGGGTAATTTTATAGGAAAAGCAATTTGATGTCTAGGATTTTCTCAACATAATGCAGGGGACAGATGTTGATAACAGTCTGTCAGACAGATACTGTCACAAGTCAGTCCTTGATGAACTTTGTGATGATGATTCAATACTTATTATTCCGTCACCTAATTTGCATAATTTGATTGTTTTATCATGAAAGAATAAGTACATATAGAAACATTGTAGACCTTTCCCCCTAAATAGTAAAAAAAGGATCGCCGCGTTTGGGCACAAGCTTTGTCTCCAAATTAATACCAAATATATGCTTTAGTACTTCTTCTATTTCTTCTTCCTTCAGAGTCTTAAATTCTACCAGATCAACATTGTCCTTATAATTAAACTTTTTGTAGACAAGAGTGGTGCCCAGCAAGCCATGAACCCCTTCTTGAGTCTGCAGGGAGCAAAGTGATGTCTTGACCATTACAGAAGTTGGAGATGTTTGGGCATATTCACTCACAGACTTGAAATCTTCAATCGTTCGAGGTTCAAGAGTAAAAGAGAATATTTTTCGATGGTTATTCTTCTCAAGAATGTTAGAATCGATGAATTCTTGGTTTGGAACATAATGTTGCCTTTTAGTTTGGTCCAGGTACCAAGTTCCATTCTCTTCTGTCAAGTGAAAGATGGCAGGCACCTGAGGCTGATCCTTCCCAGAAATTAATTCCAGAGGCTCCCACGGCTGGCAGGAAAATGGGAATGCAGCATCCACGATATACTTTTTGCCACTGAGGGTCACCATAAGCAGGGGATGAATCAAGGTTTTGCTATATCTGCAGGCGGGGAAGTTATAAACTTGTCCTCCCAACATTATGGCCTCAAATCCTACTGTGGTCAGAGCCCAGTAGAAAAGATTGTTCAACTGGAGGCACCAGCCACCCCGCTTCTTCCTCACGACATGATCGAAGACGGCCTCTAAGCTCAGCTCCATGGGTTCCCCGCAATGGATGTTCAAGTTCTCAAAGGGAACAGCTCGTATCTGGTGTTGAAGGATTTCAGTTAATGTTTGCAAGTCCAGTTTGTTCCTGGAGTTCTGATAACCAATTCTTTCAAAGTATTCTTTAATGTCCATGGTCCCCTAAGGCAAGAAAAACAAATCAATCAGATATAACTGTCTGAACTTGGAGTTCCTTTTATAGGTTAGTTATCTATTAAAGTTATTTAAAGGAAAGCATAAACACACATATACAAAATTAGCTGACATATCTGTAGCAATTTCTTGAAGCCACGTTTACATACATATTTCACTTAACAACATCAGTGAACCTGGAGGGACAGTTAGGCCATGTCTTTCTCTTTTGAATATCAGAAGTTAGAAGTCTAGGTTAGATGATACAGTGAATGGTAAGGTGAAGGTTTAGAGGTGCTGTTATGTCATAAATAAATTGGGGGTTCCCAATTGGTGCCCACTAAACAGGTCTCTAAAGAGTGCCTGAAAGAAACAGAAGTAGTTAACAAAAGAACACCGGACTTTTGATTCCTACAGCCTAGAGTCATGGGAGAGGAAAACTGCAGTGTGGAACTGCCTAGGTCACAGTGGCCTGAGGGCATGTCTGTGGGGGAACTGTCTATAGTTCTTTCTGGTCTTGTCCTGACTTGTCACAGTAATGAACTGTAATGTATAAGCTATAATTCATAAGCCCTTACCTTCCCTAATTTACTTTTCATTATAATTTCTTTAGCACAGCAACACACACGAAGCAAGGATATTGACCATTCTTTTTTCCCTCTAGCTGCATCTTACCTTGTGCAATGTACCCTATTAAAAAAATTAGATATGCATTCACACGGATTGTTACACTCAAGAAACAATTTACCGAATATCCGCCAAGCATTTGCCACTGGCACAGGGCTGTACTGGCTTCTAATATGTTGCAGGATATTGCTGTGATAAACAACATAGCCAGGACACTTTGCAGAGTTTATTTGGACTTACATCTCCTTCAGAATGAGAAACTACAAGCGGCTTGGCAGGCAACCATGGAGGCTGGAGCAGAAGCTGATGGCTTACATTTTCAAGTATAAGCACAAAAAAGAGAGAAGACACTAGAAATGACATGAAATTACTCTTAAAGCATCCACCTATGATATACTTCCTCCAGCAAGGATATACCTGTCAAGCTTCCCCAAAGAGTGCCAACAACTGAGGACCAAGTATTCAAATGCCTGAGACTATGGGGAACATCTCACTCAAACTATCACAACTCTGTGGTATCAGAATGACAGAGACAGGGGAACTAAGTAAACAAATACAGCATTTATCTAGAAGATTGTTTTAAGTAAGCTGCAGTGCTGATTTGAAAGAAAATGGAGCCCTCAAGGGAGTGGAACTAAAAGGAGGTGTGTCCCTGTTGGAATAGGAGTGGTCTTGTTGGAGTATGTCACTGTGGAGGTGGGCTTTGAGGTCTCATATATGCTCAAGCCACACCCCATGAGATAGACCACTTCCTGTTGGCTGTGCAAGATGTAGGACTCTCAGCTACCTCTCCAGCACCATGTCTGCCTGCATGCCTCTGTACTGCGGGACAATGGTCTTTGATCCTGTCACTTGTATTATTTTAATAAAATGCTGATTGGCGCGTAGCCAAGCAAGCAGTATAGGCAGGGTGAGCAGGCAGGAAGTAGAGACAGAACAGGAGAATGCTGGGAAGAGGAGAGTCAGTCTGCAGTCATCACCCAGATACAATGGAAGCAAGATGAGAATGCCTTGCTGATGAAAGGTACCAAGCCACAAGGCTAACACAAACAAAAATTATGGGCTAATATAAGTTATAAGAGTCATAAGAAGCCTGAGCTAATATACCAACCAGTTTATAATTAATGTAGACCTCTGTGTTTTTCTTTGCAACTGAAATGCTGTGGGAACAGGTGGGACAGAAACCTTGGTCAACACCTCCAATGCCCACAATGCTGGTAATGGATTGAACCTCTGAACTGTAGGCCACCCAAATAATTGGTTTCCTTTATAAGAGTTGCTGCGGTCATGGTGTCTCTTCAGAGCAATATAAACCCTAACCAAGAGACCTGAAAAAAAAATCAAAGAATCTAGCAAGCAAGCAGACAGGGAGATAGGGAGAGCTTATAAAATGGAGTAACCAGAGAAACACTCCTTAAAACTAACAGTGATGGACACTGAGCCTGTGGAGGCAGGTGGGAAGCAAATGGGGAAAAGCTCCATGCTGTGAGCTTCCTGGAGTGCTCAAGGGATATCTAGGAAACATGGACAGTTGCGGCAGATTGGGAAGAGTGGATTGTGATGAGAACACACAGAAGACAGTGTCCTCACAGCAAAGTTGACATTGTTGAATTGCTGTAAATGAATGCAAACTCTAGAGGGACGGAAGGAGAGCTGTAACATGACAATACTGATCATCATCCAAGTCACCTTCATGAGACTCTGTGTGGAACAGGCAGCACTCACTGGTTCACACGACGTAGGACAGCCCTATTTGCAAGCAATTTGAATCTGGGACCAGTGACTACCCAGAGCCGGCATGACTGCCCCTGACACATGGCCCAGGTAGGGGAGTGAGACCTTATTGAGGGACATGGATAATACCATAGAACATTAATTCAAATCTATCGGTGTTATCCTGGAATGAAACCCTCTAATGATGGAAAGACCTGGATGGAGTCCAACACTATCTTTAACAACATCTCACCTTACCCAAACAATACAACAACAACAACAACAACAAAAAATAGAATAAAGGTTTTCTTACTTTTGAAAAGAAGACTTTATGAATTGCTATCTAAGAGCCGTTCTATTCAGACTTTGAGTAGAACGATTATGCACTGACCTAAATGTTCGGGTTCTGTGCGGTGGCACAGCCTATGTCTCTACGGGATCCACTGAGAAAGTGGCTGTTAAGCATCTCTATTTCCTCTTGCTTATCCATTCTCAATTTTAAAGCTCACTCCACTTTCTATTTATTGCCAGTTTTCTGCTTCTCTGCTGTGGATGTCAGTACAATTTCTCTTAAACCCTTAAGGAGCCTGCTGTGTTTTCCCCTTGCCCAATGTGTTAACTGTTCTCCTCCTCAACATCAGCATAAGTGTTTCATCTTCCACGTTCAGACCCAGTGAGAATAAACCAGGTTTTACTCTGAATGCTGCAAAGCCGCTGATACCCATGAACTGCATGTAGAATGGAGAGGGGCAAGCTGGTACACAGGGTTTCTGCAGGCATTGCCATACGATGATGACCTAGATGGTTGCGTTTCCCATTCAGAATCACTTTATATTTCTTTTGAAGCGAGTGTTTATAATGTTTATGCCCCGTAATACTTTTTTTTAATCACTCCGTCCATTTTCCTCTCACCATTATGTTGGTATGATGTCATATTTACTGATTGATTTTTTTTTAAATATTTATTTATTTATTATGTATACAATATTCTGTCTGTGTGTATGCCCGCAGGCCAGATGAGGGCACCAGACCTCATTACAGATGGTTGTGAGCCACCATGTGGTTGCTGGGAATTGAACTCAGGACCTTTGGAAGAGCAGGCAATGCTCTTATCCTCTGAGCCATCTCTCCAGCCCCATACTAATTGATTTTTAAATCTCTGTTGAGATTTGGTTAGCTGTGGCCTTTAAAATCGTAATCTATGAGTAAAGTTGTATTTTGTGTGTATCTGAGGAGAACTGGTACCCTAAGATTGTGGGAAAACATAACCAATATTAGATATTCTGGGACTGAATGTGTTTAAACTCTGTGTCAGCTAAGCTGGGACTCGAGGTAAAATGCTGAAAGTACTCAGAAAGTGATTTCCAAAAAAAGAGCTGAACGGAAGTGGTGTTGACACCCCAGGCTAGCTTGTGGACCCTATTGCGCATGTAGACTTTCCCCTTTACCTTTACTGCTAGCCTGGGAGACTCAACGGAGTCAGCTTAAGCACACGCAAGGAGCCCACTGCCATAGTTCAGAAAGCTTCCTGCTCTAGTTAGCCTGATACAGCTTGAATTCAGGAATCTTCAAATGCCTCTTCTTTTTCTGAGGGCAACTGATGGGCTAATTAAAACATAACTTTTCAGAGTTGTTTTGATCTTACACTTGTAAAAATGGCCAAGATCAAAAAACACTGACGACAGCTTATGTTGGAGAGGTTGTGGGGGAAAGGGAACATTCCTGCATTGCTGGTGGGAGTGCAAGCTGGTACAGCCCCTTTGAATGTCAGGGTGGTGATTTTTCAGAAAATTAGAAAACAACCTTCCTCAAGACCCAGCAATGACACTTTTGGGTATATATCCAAAGGATGCTCAATCGTACCACAAGGACATGTGCTCAACTATGTTCATAGAAGCATTGTTTGTCATAGCCAGAAACTGGAAACAACCTAAATGCCCCTCAAATGAAGAATGGATAAGAAAAATTTGGTACATTTAGACAATGGAGTAATACACAGCTAAAAAACAAATAAATACATAAAGACATCTTGAAATTTGCAGGCAAATGGATGAATCTAGAAAACATAATATTGAGTGAGGTAACCCAACCCAGAAAGACAATTATCATGTGTACTAACTCATAAGTGGTTCTTAAACATAAAGCAAAAAACACCAGCCTATAATTCACAATCCTAGAGAATCTAGACAACAATGAAGACCCTACGAGAGACTTACATGGATCTAATCTACATGGGAAGTAGAAAAAGACAAGATCTCCTGAGTAAATTGGGAGCATGGGGACCTTGGGAGAGGGTTGAAGCGGAGGGAAGGAGCAAAGAGGGGAGCAGAGAAAAAATGTAGAGCTCAATAAAAATTAATAAAAATGTATTTAAAAGACAAACACAACTTTTCTTGAAAACAAAAGGATTGCTTTGAGGACTAAATTATGGAAGATCTCTAACAACCACAACACAGTAGTCAGGTGACTATCCGATTGCGTAGGAGAGCATGCAGGAGGGACAATGGTGGCCTGTTACCTACGTCTCTGTGCAGCATGCACTGTCATGGATTTTGTGTTACCTAAGGACTCCTTCCCTCTGTTTGTCCCCTACACATGATATTCTGAACTCTAATCCAACAAGACTTAGAAGTAGTTTGGTTCAGGTTGACTGCTTACACTAT